GGGGGGGGGGGGTGTGCTCCCTTGTGCTTTGCAGTGCAATGGGCCTGGGGGCTTGAGGCTTCTTGTCCCTTGTGGCCCAGGGGAGTGGAGGCAGAGCGAGGGCGGTATAGGCCTGTGCCCTGCTGCTGAAGCGCTGGGGATAAGTTGGGGAGAGGCCAGAGGAGGGCAAGGAAAATGGCTCCGGGGCTGGGGCACGTGGCTTGTGAAGTGGGGGGGCTGATTTAGTCTGCAGAAAAGAAAACCGAGGGGGCTGGGTGGCAGTCTATGGGTCCCCGAAGGGGGGATCCAAAGGGGATGGAGCTGGGACTGTTCTCAGCGGTGGCAAAACAGGGAGCAATGGGCTCAAGTTGTAGCAGAGGAGGTTTAGGTTGGATATTAGGACAGACTTTCTCACGAGGAGGGTGGTAAAGCACTGGGACCAGTTGCCCAGAGAGGCGATGCAATCTCCGTCTGTGGAGGTTCTTAAGACCTGGCTAGACAAAGCTTTGGCTGGGTTGAGATAGTTGGGGATGGTCCTGCTTGGAGCAGCAGGTTGGACTAGATGCCCCCAGAGGTCACTTCCAGCCCTCATTTTCTATGGGGGAGCTCCACAGAGGCAGCAGGACTTACCGCACAGCAGAGTGGAGGCACCTGTGTGGTTGGCTCTTGCCCCCCGCACAGCTGGCCTGGCTCTTCACCTCTGCTGCTCTGGGGTTGCCCCAGCTGGGTGTCATGCACCTGTCAGACATCAGTGAGCAGCCAGACAGTGGCTTGTCTAAAGCCACCCAATGGGGCAAGGCCTGTTCCACAGCCTGCTCCTGTTAGCTCCACACACCTGCTTTTGCGTAGTTCAGGGAGTCTCAGCTGGGGCCGTGGCACCCTGGGAGGGCCTTGAGATCCTGTGTGGGGTGCCAGCGGTGTTAGGTGCATACACATGAGTCCTAAGATGGACCCAGCAGTGTCAAATAGGAATTGGCAGTATTAAAACGTAACAAAACCTGTCAACCATATTGAGAACATTTTATAAAAGCAGGATGTTGGCCTCTGTGGTTCCCCTGCTTTACCTGTGGCAGGTTAGGGTGTTAGGTCTGTGTTGTGTCAGGGCTGATGGCAGTCTTGCACAGAGTTTAGATTATGGTTTGTATGGAATGGTTTGGGTAGAGATGATCCTGCCTCAGGCAGGTCAGACTAGATGACCTCTAGAGGTCCCTTCTAGCCTGGCATCTCTGACTCTAATGACACAGAATCTGCAAGAATGAGTCTGACACTTGCACGGAGGTTAGGGCACTCCCTGGGGCAAGGGAATCCTGGGTTACAAACTCTGTCCCAAAAATTACCAGTGTGTTTTGCATGAAACAGTCCTTAGGTAACACACATGAACACCCCCTGGAGCATGGACTAGAAGCCAGGACTCCCTGGCAACGTACATGCCCTCTGCACTAGCCAGGGTCATTCCCACTTTTACACTTGCTCTTTCTGGCCCATTCAATCTTTACTTTTTTTAATTAAGGTGGAACAGCTTTGTCTGAAAGGGTTAAGTGTGCCCCCAACAGTACCTACCACCTGGTGCTTAGGGTAGTTTCCAGGGAGAATGGGAGCTAGGTAGGCAGAGGAGAGCCTCAAACCCATTTCTGGAGGAGGAAGCCACATTACTGCAGCACCAAGGAAAAGGAGCTCCTACTGGGTTACAAGAGTGGGAAGGACAGTGACAGAACCTCTGGGAGAGCTTTCATGGGCTAAAGCAGGGGTGGCCAAGTGGCATGGAGTGCCTCTGCATGGCAGGCAGGAGATCAAGGAGGGGACAAGAGGCACATAGCAGAAAGGACAGAAAGCAGAGCAGGCAGTGACCATGGGGGAGGAAACAGAATAGAGTGAGCAGGGAGCAGAAAGCAGAGCAGCAGATCAGGCAAGGGAAGAGGATTGGAGTGGCACTTGAGGAGGGTGCAGAGCTAATCTATGCCATACCTGCCAAACAGGTTGGTCCCTACCAGTCTAAAACAGTGTTGCTCAACCTTCTGGCTTCACAGGCCAGACAAGTGGCATGGGGCCAGTCCCACAAACCCAATCCAGAATTGGGGGGGCATGAAGGACTGGTCAGTGGGTCCATTGCCACACGTTGCCCTGGCCCCATGCACCAGATCTGTCTGCAAAGCAACCCCATGTGCTGGCACAATCTGGTACGTGGGGCTTTGGCATTTGGTCTGGAAATCTGGGGCAGGGGAGCAGAGGGCAATGTTAATTGCCACAGCTCTGGAAGCTATAGCAATTAACACTGCCACCATTCCCCTGCCACCACATTTCCAGACCCATGGGGAGTCCCACAGGCCAGATGACATAGCCCCAGGCCAGCTTTGGCCCATGGGCAGGAGGGTAAGCAAAACTGGTCTAAAGCTACTATAAGGCATTGAACTGTGTACTTGCCAGAGGCCCCACTATTCAATCATCACATTTTTTTTTCTGCAAATGCTCTCTCCATCCTCCACCAAGGTTGACAAGATTGCAGGCCAGGGGGAGATCAGTTTTAGAATTCAGGGTCTCATCAGTCTAGTGAACCCTAAGGCAGACATGTCTCAGCCCCAGAATTCCCCCCAGATCACAGCTAGAAGATCCACCTGAATCACAGGCAGAGTTCTAAACTGAATGTTTTAATAGAGGAGTTTGTGTTGTTTAAATTTAGTTCAGGTAGCATTAGGATGCTGCCATGTCAGTCTGCTTTCATTCCCACTTGGGCTCTTAATATCTCCCAGACCCACATTTAAAAGAGCAGCTGTGTTGGAGAACACTGCCACTTCACATATACAAATCCACAAACACCACAGAAGTTTGAGTCCTGTTCAACTTTCCCCTATTCTCATGCTTACTGTTCTCTCCCTGTACTTGGTCAACCCTTACCACCAGCCAAGATGGGAAGAGGGAAAAATTCCTGAAAAGAAGAGGAAAAGAACAGGGAAATGGCTAGAATCTCTTAGCAACAGCCATAGTGGATGATATGAAAACACAGTGGCTTTCTGCTTAAGAAGTGTGCCACAACCTAGGTGTGCCCTGTTACCCTTTCATTCCAATTCCTCCATGTCCTGTGACAGAACACCCACTCCAACGGTGCATAAAGATGAAGATTTTTCATAGGCAATCTCCACCATACAAGGGCAGATTGGCAGATTTTTAACTGGGGGTGGGAGGAAACGTGGCTTTTAATATTGTGTTTGTTTTACAGTTTTGACTTGCTGTAGCTTTGGACCTTGCACGTTGTGGTATGTTCAGTATTTTTTACTGTTCACATTTAATAGGTACATTCATTACATTTATTCAACAATTCACTTTAGAATGTCTACATTCATTGTTCCATTGTGAACAATTAATTTAAATGCCAACTTTCAGTCTCATAAAATCCAAATTTACATGATAATAAATCCCCACACGCAGTCCACGAAGCTCCTCACTCAAAGTAAAATGAAATCCTTGTACCACTGCCCGTATACCCAGACACGTGTGGTAGGCATGATTAAAGCTTCCCACAAAAGCACACGTGTAGTTTACAAGTAGCATCTCACCTCACCGTAGGCGCACTGTGCCTGACACCTGACTGCTGCGCTCATGAGTAATTGCAGCATTGCACAGAGGCATCTTTTCTGGCTGTTCAAAACGTCTGCCTACCTCTTTCTCCCACCCTCTCTGCCTTGCTGTCACAAAGATTTGTACAAAACAGAGCAAGGAGGTATTATCAAGTAGACACATTTCTCATCACCCTCCAGCCTTGACATCAACCTCCTCCATCTCCCTTTCAGTCTTCCAAATAACATTCTGCATCTATTCGAGGTAGAATTAAACAGCTTTCTCCCACCTTAATGTACAGTGAAAAGATTAAGTCAGGGAAGCAGAGTGTATGGCGCAGCTCCCAGAGCCACTGGAGAAATGACAGTGCCATCCTCATCCATAGAGAATAGAGAAGAAAAGTTCCATTGCTCAGCACCTCGCAGCCAAGAGATGATAAAACTCCTAGTGCTGTGGACCCTGCTGAACCTTGCCATTAGTGTTGGTGAGCCTTTTTCACAGTGATCAACCAGGTCTTGCAGAACCATGGAAAAATATCCTTTTCATGTTGAGGATCGCTGAAGCAGAGGGGAGAAGGCGGAGAATGAAGACTAGATCCACAGATCCCATCAGGGATCCCCAAAACACTTGGAAAATGTCAACTGTGCCATGCATTAACAATATCCTATGGCTTGCCCAGCCTTCTGACCTATAGTGACAGCGCTTTCTTGATAACAGTGAACATCTCCATTAGAACAGTCTTGATCAGTGATGCTCAACCTATAGCCTGTAGGAAAAATCCGCAGCCAGATTCAGCTAGCAGGGCTGAGCCAGCACACAGGATTAGGCTGGCATGCTAGGTCTCACCTGCAGACCAACCCCACATAACCCCACACTGGATATGGGCCTGTGGACTGACCCTGTATGCAGGTTCCAACCCACAAGATTAACTCCACACCTCCCATCCAGCCCACAGAGCTGGATAGATTAAAACACCATTGGTCTTGATGATTAACCTACCGAACACCAAGCTAGTTAGCCATGGCCTAGTAGCAATCAAGTATAGTGCACTTCCAGACAGCAGTGGCTATGAGATGAGGGAAAATCCTGGAGAGATGTTCTAGTTCTGCAACTCCAGG